TGATGCCCTGTAGAAGCTAGGTGGCAAGCCCTTATACTACAAACTGAAAGCTGCTACCTTGACATGTTAGTCGAGATTACATGTTGCTGTAAAATAGTAGCAAATAAGACTAAACATCTGACGAATACATTGTTCGGTAAATACTCAGTAATCCTAGTAGACAACCGTCTCCCTATTCTTCCTGAGTATTTGGTTTTGCACGTATATGTTAATTCATAAACGTAGACAAATTTAACGAAAGTTAGGATTTAGTTTAGCTTGAAGTGTGTAACTTACTTGGTGCTTTCCCACAACAGGACCAGATTAATGACTAGATAAGTACTGAGTATTCCACTTTTCATCCAGCTGTTGTTCATTTCTCCATAGTCACTACCCTTAAATCCTAGTTTTGAAAATACTGCATTCTTCCTCAGTACTATGCCAGCTTTCCTCCGGCCACCACTGCAACGATTCTCAACCAAAAATGTTTTTGAATCACCACTGTTGCGTAAATATTGCCTTTCCAATATAATTTACTTTTCTAGTTTTTGTCAGAACAAAGATCAACTACTTTCTAGTAGTATCATTACAGAGCCAAGAAGACTAAAACTGTCAAAGTTAATTTATCGGTTTGCTATTGTGCTACCCTTTTTCTTTTTCATGGCATAATTCATGAAAATTTAGTTAATTTTCGACTTCATGACTCACTAGGAATTCCAAATGTGGACTGCTCTGATGAACTTTTGTAGGAACATCTTGGTTTGTTCGGCATCATCCAGCTCGAAAAGTGTCATACCTTGAATAAAGCATATTTGCACTAGTTTCAGACTTCTATGTAGTACTTTCTAGGTAGAAGACAGAGATGCTAACTATCATAAGACCGAATGCGTTTTCCGTTGCTACTCCTCCTACTTGTTGGCATAAAAAGCCACTGAATATGAGTAGAATATTATTGGTACACCGAAAATGCTTTATTCTGGTCCACAGTAATTCGATTTATCTGTTGGTATTTATTGTATTTAGAGTATTTAGTATTCGTTGACAAAGATTTTTTGTCAACAGGATCATAAATGCATAGTTGACATACAGGCGTTCCGTTTCTAGGATGAAGTCAGAATAGTCTTTCAAGATGAAGGTTGATATTTACTATTAAAGCTTTTCCTGGCTTTTTAGTCAACGAACTATAAAATGTGTGGAGGGCGAAAACGAAAACACTTAATGATACTGCTTTTCGAAGGTAAGAAATCGTTTTCGCCCAGGATTATTCAGCTTTTAAATTTGGTAAAATACCATTCGTTCGTACTAGTGTAAATGAATGAAAGTCAATATTGATACGGCCTTATAAAGTTAAGAATCGATAAAATTTAACGAACGGGTAGAAAATTTACTCTTTGAAAACTGCTTATTAACAGTTATGAGAAAGTATAACAGAATTCACGGGAATCTAATTCCTTCATCTTAATGATAGTGAAACCAAATTATATAAGAGAAAATAAGCCATCAGAAATTCATTTGTTGTTTTGATATTCATCCATGAGAAAGGTAGTGAATTGTTTAATTCATATGCATAAAACACAGTGTGATGTTCTTCAATCAACAATAAGTGTATTTCCTTTTTTAATGTACGTTTGCTAGTTTCTCTATGAAGATTACATGGTTTAGAATAAGTTTGCGAAAATCGAGGCTACAAACAATTTTCATTACAGAAAACAGCTAATAGTAAAAGGTAATTAGGAAGTTACTAGAAAGTGGAATTAAAATATTTTACTATGACCAAGAACAATATATAGTGTTAGGAGAAATATTCAGTAAATGAAACTATTTAACTTCGTTATATGCCTAATAAAGAAACCAATACACAAATCACATTTTACTTCGGTACCTATATTATACTGTTATACATGTATATATTACTGAATGGAAGTAGGATTCATGTGTTTTACCCATCAATAAAAGTGTTTGATGTGTAATTAGAAAGCAGTTTACGTAGATTTTATTTGACAACGATAGCGATTCTTAAACAGATAGGGTCCGATGCTCTTTCTAATGAGCTCTAGAAATGGAGGTGAAAATGGTTAATAACCAGTAAATTTCTGAAGTCACATCTTTATTGCAAGAAAATTGACACATGGAGATAAGTGAGAGCTACGTAAAATAGATCCAGAACTCTGTGATAACTGACAACTATTTGGACTTATTAAGAAAAATCTTATGAAAAAATAAGGTAATTGAAATGATTTCTGAGAGACTTTGAGCATTATTAAATATTGAGAACAAGGTACTAGAATAATATATGTGGAATATTTCAAGAGGCTTTTCAGCTTGTCTAAAGTTGCACTGTACGTGCCTACTCACTAAAACCTGCTTGAATGGAACATTTACGTCTGGCCCACATTTCTAGGTGTTTCTCATCTGAAACGCATCAACACAGTGGTAAAAATATTGAATATAGCTACTAATGTTTTGGTTGTTTTGTTGATTTCCAGGGCAGATTCATCACTGGTGTAATTTGTTGATTATTCACTTTTGAAAAAAATCATTTGGTGACAACCTCAGGAGAATAGGGTCGACCGATAGTGTCAAATACTGTAAGGTCGATAGCCATAAATAAGAGAAGTGAATGTTGGTTACAACAAAATGAGGTATAGACAAGGTTATATTTGCCCTTGGAAAGTTCTGAACAACAAACATCTAACGTTTACTATTTAACCAAATGGAAATGGTTAATAAAATGTTTGAATTTATGAGGAAATCATCTTACTTAGCAACTCTGGTTGACTTGAAATCAAAGAAATTGCTATGAACATTAAATTATGCTCTCTTAGTTCAAAGCTGACACTACACTTTTACATGAACGGTTGCCAACTCGATTAATTAGGCATTCTAACAACATTGTAATAGCACTTGTTCATCTATTTATTCATAATTGTTGATATTATTGTAACTAACGCAAACTCTGGTACAACAGCACTCTAAAGTGAAGAAGCGAAGATACGCTTTTAAGTCAAGTATATTAATTCGCAGTCTAGAAATTGAGTATTAAATTGCGACTAAAATTCATCTTGTCATACTATTTTCAGTCTAAGCTGGTTTCTTTCAACTTTTGTCAAACAAAGAATATGTAATGCAAGCACCATAGTGATAGAAATGATTTAATTAATTCGTGATGCATACTGAACTAATGCATCTTTCATCTACTGCACTGGTAAAAGAAGTAGTTTCAGTTAGACATTTTGCAGCTAGATAAGTAAAGTGTAGTAATTGATAGTTACAGCTGTTAGTCTGGATACGGATTATAGAGACAATGGTGAATATCATTATGTTTGACATTCTACTTTTTATGTAGTGAATTGAAGGAATTTAACCTACTTCAAGGTAGATTTCTTTACTAATTAACATCATTTTGAAGACTGCTGAGAACCAGAGGACAGTGGACAACTGTTTTGTCCTGATTCGAGACTTCTCAGAACTGTGCTCTTATGACCCTACCAGTGGCTGAACCCACTGCCGTCAGGCTACCAGACAATTCTGTTGCTTAATCTGTCACTGTGCTGGAATTCAGCCGCCTACCCACCATTTCTTTCGATTCACGATACAACGCCGTTGTCATCTAATGCGAGCAGAGAGTATCTGTCCTGACATATGATTAGATGGATTCTGCTGTTCACAACTTCTTATTAGAACATCGCAGTCAGTTGCAATGAGCGGTGAATTGTTGTTTTTACTTCCTTTCCGTAAGGTTAGAATGCTTCGCATTTGAAGTTAATTTATTCTTCTTCATAAGACATTGATTCAGTATGTTTAGGCGATCGAAATCTTGATAAATATCACACCAATACGCAGGATAATATATGCGTTTTGTTATTTTATAAAAGACAAAACTATTTTTCTTCAAATTTTATTATAGCTTGATTCCACACAGTATTTTGGTTCAAATATGGAATTTTTGGCATATGATATCGGTAGCCCAAATTTATCAGGCCAACCCTTGATATCAGGTGTGGATCGGCAGAGAATCGAACCCCAGACCATGTATATAATCGGCGAGCGTCATCACTCAGTAAAACTTCTCAGATATGAAGACTTAATGTCGATGGTTTTTGAAGAGGGGAGGAAAACTAATTCCAGAGGTTAAAAACTGAGTCATATTTACTAAAGACAAAACCAGCCTTTGCTGTGAATTTTTCACATTGTATTTAACACCTGCTGGTAATGAAGAATAGTGTCTCACTATATTCTGATTCGTTGATTTCAACAATTCAATAAGAGATATGTTTGAAATTTCTCTAGACACGCATAAAGTCAATCGCATCAGCATGACCTCCAAAACCTTAGATGAGAATTCATCTGCAATCCGTATTTTTCAATGGTGAAGTGAAGTAAAATTTGTAGTGGAGCTACTAGCCGCAAATCTTATAAATTTTGTGAAGCGTGCCTGTCGACTGACTACGTAAATGAAATAATTTAACCCCAGTAAGGTTTCATAAATCAACATAACCAGTCGTTAAAAATATCCGCCTCAGACAGTCATTCGGGTTAAACTAATGAGAATTTGATTTTAAAATGGATAGAATGAACAGTCAGTTGATGCTTCATAAATACTGAAAAAGTAAACAACTACTGAAATTGAAGTAAAATTCGCACTTATATAGAGTGTTTATCATTTTCACTCTTACTGAAACCTGCCAACTTTCAAACAAGATCTTTCATGGCTTTCGATAAAGGTAAAAGTGGCATCGACAGCGAACGAACATGACATCATTTCACATGCCATCCAGAAAATTCTAATTTTTTTTTCATTTCCACAACTGACAAAAACGCATTTTGTTCAGAGTGGCTCATAGTGATAATCTGTGAGGACTAAATAATGGCTGGTCTGTGTGAATCCAGTAAACGTAATCTGTGATCAAATACATTTAAATGGCCCAGATAATTATTGTCATTAGTTAGTATTTCTCTTGACACTAGAATTTTGAATAATATCTGCACTGAAAATGATTTGTACACATTCAAATGCTTACCTCTTTTTTAAATATCATTAACCAATCCAAATGAGAAAACCATTTGTGAGATTTAATATCTTGTACACCATTCTTCAGATTGCCAAATCTTCTGGTCAAATCAGACTGAATTAGATTACGCAGAAGATCTTTCAAATCTGAACTGAAGTGAGATGGAAATTTATACTGAAAAAGAAAAGAAAACAACGTGTATTTCAATCATGAAAAGTTATGAATCATAAATTCCCTAGGAATTATTACAAAATAGTCATGGCTACAAAAACTTGGGTCAATTACCGTCAAGTTCAACACACAAACACACAAACAAACAACAATCGAGTGATGCATTATGTCTCCCCAAGAAAAGCATTCCTTTTTTTGTGTAGAAATGTAGAAAAATATTGTTACAGTCAGATGTTAACAATTTTTCATTTTTTACTTTCTCATTTAACAGACTAATGGAGAAACATTTTCTAACTCCAAGAATTTCAGGTAGTTGAACCAAAAATGTGTTATTACTGATCTATGCCTTAAAAATGATTTCCAAGTTAACTTAATAACTTATTATACTAACCAGGGTTAGTTTTACTTGCAAAAATGATTTCTGTGATCTCTCTTATTCTTTTATTGTCATCATTTGGGGGAACAACACACACAAATGTATCGGTCATAATGCATGACCATTTTAAAAACTGACGTCTATCAGACTAAATGCTTTTAATAGAGAGATTTTGCGAACATATTTTCGATGTGTAATATGCATTTCTGACATAAAGCAAGGTCCATTATTAATGATACGCATAAATTATTTTGAAAAATGTCTGCTGAATAAGTAACTAAACAGTACCCTGACTACTGTTTAACCGATCTGAACGTTTCTTTTCAATTTCCAAGGAAATATCAAACATGTAATTTGAAAAGCACTTAAAATTTACATTAATTACTTTACAGTCACACCATACAATTAACCCACTAGATAATTAGATTTATTTTTATCTGGAGATCAAATTAGTTACTTCTAAATTACAGATATATATATGTATATATATATATATATGAAATCCATTTAAAACGCGTGGTTTTTACACCAGTTTCATGAAAGCACGTTCTAAACCTTTTTGCCAGATAACGTTTCTCGTTAAAACCTACTTTTGGCCATAATTATGTCTACTGGGATAACAGCAACTGTAATTAAATATTAGCTGCACCTGCTGTGGTTGATGTATATATATATATATATGTTACGTTTAACTTTTACATTGGAAACAGTGAATGTTTTATGGCTTAAACATTAAAATTACTACTGTAAGCCAAAATGTTTTTCCCCAAAAGTCGAAAACCAAATTTCATCGTAACAATTACTACTATTAGGAAAACAAAGATTAAAAATCTCGTTTTACCAATGAGTTCATTTAATCATTCAGCAGTAATCCCTAAATGAACATAAATAAATTCACTTCTGTACTTGTTCTTTCTTTTTGACAATCTCGCTGAATGTTGACCCTGAATGGAATTCAGTGTAACAGTTTAAGGCTGTTTACACAGAACAACTAATCAGAGTTTTCTGTCAGTCAACATTTGTTCTCTGTTAAAAACATAGTTAATTACTTATCATTTGTGTGCATGCATAAACCTGTTTTCAGACACATTCTTAGAGATATTGTCGATATCATGTCAACTAGTGATGAGGGATAAGCAGTAACTGTATTCAGTAAACATGCTAAAACACCCAAGTAATCTAAAAACAACTATATGGAGAAAAATAGACGGAAATGAAAAAAATTGGTTTTGGAACATTTTTATTAAATTTCCAGGTGTTTTCTCAGTTATTTTCACTCTGCACTCAAAAACAGTACTATGTATATACATATATATGCTACAATGATTTTTCGTAGGTTATTAGCAAGCTTCAATAAACTGTCATTCAGCAATATTCAAAATCACATATCTGTCATAGAGAATGGTAAAATCATCCTAGTGATGTAAACATTCTGAATAAAAACATGGAAAACAAATTAAAAATTTAAATCTTAGGGGAAAATAAGTGATGTTAGAAATGAATTTCCTAAAAATTTTATAACAATTCACCGCTTCACACTACTCACAGGATAAAAATATGCATTACAAATATATATCAACGTTTCTGCTGTAAAATGTCAATAAAAAGAAACTGGAAAATAATCTAGCCATTAGTTATATCTTTGCTTCCTTTGTTTAAATGGAAATAAACAAATATACTTGATTTAAGAAACTTTTAGCCCATTGACTGAAAGTTTTTCCATTCTGCGGCCAAGCATCATTCAAATAGGTACAGCTGATAGCTAAATGGAACTGCCTGTATGAGATTGGTAATTGATTTTTTATGTTCCAGCTAATACTGGTTGCTATCAGTAACAAATTTCACTTGCCCAATTTGCCTTTGTTCCCCCTTCTATTTAACCAAGCCATCATACTAGTATTATTCATTGTGATAATTGGAGTCAGTATAATGAATAGTAGTTGAGATTAAATCATGTTGAGCTTTATGCATGGACGAAGATTGGTTATCAAGATCTCATATATACCCAAAGAATTTTCAGCATTTTGTAATTAACTCTAATTCATAAATTCAAAATAGAAATCTAATTAGTTCAGTGGTGTCAAATGTCCATTCTGAATCAGTTCTACATAAATGTGCATGTGAGTATTTGCATGTTTGGTTGATTGTGACGACAATATATGAAGAAACAAAAATTTGTCTTGATACTTTTACAAATATCAACAGGTGAACATTTATACCGATTCGAGTATATATATATTTATGTTCAAATATGCCTTTATCTATTTCCTTCTAGTGTGGAACACAATGACTGAAGACCAAGGAAGACTTCACTAAAGTGAATGGTTAAGTGGAAAAATTGCAATCTTCTACAATGGTCTCTACGTCAGTGGCTTAGTTGTACAATGCCCTTCAACCACCTATGTGGTCTGAGTCCAACTCTCTGCCGACAAACACCCAAACGGTCCCCTGTTAACTGGCACGTAGAGAGCCCGGAAAATAGGGATGGTTGAGTGTAATAATACCCGTAAGAACAACATAACCTCTAAGGATATTTCAAAAGCCTAATGCTCTATGTTCCACTGGGAACGAAAAGAATAAAAAAAACATTCTGTACATGGGCTTGATCAGTAGCAATCACAGAAGAGTTAACTTCAAGTGACCTGTATATAAATATATGATCTATGCTGCATTATCTATTTCTTCGAATCAGTGTAGGCAACTGAAAACCACTCGGTTATTGATAGACTGTGGTCCCGAAGAGACTCTAGTATACATGTGCGTTTATTAAATTAGGAAATAGTTGAGTTTTATACTGACAAACGGATGTAAAACGGTTTACTTGTTATTTATTATTTAAACTAGTTTTTGATTCAAACGGGATATGACGCCAATATAAAATGGTGCAGTTCGTTAAAGGCTGAATTAATTGAATAAAATATGTGATAGAAATGATTTCTGTTGTTTTAATACTTTATCAGATTAGGTGGAAAACATCAATATTAACATAAGATTTATGATTGTTCAGTCCATCTAAGACTGTATCTGCATATGTAGACAATACTTTGACGGAATATAAAAATACAAAAATAGAAATACCAAAAGCTATAAATCACATCGAAGAATAAGATAAACGGAATAGTTGTGAAGTGAGAACATATCCTCGCTAATACAATTGGTTTAAAATAATATCACCTGGGACCACTAACCATCACCTTTAGTTGTCTAGGCGATTAAATCTAGAATTCGTTTTGTTTCTCAACAAATGATTTTATGTGGTATTGCCTCCATAACATCATTAAGCCAAGCCCACTTGTTTCTTCTTTAAATTTTACCGTAATCAGAATAACAGTTAAGTAGGTAAAGTTGAGCATGTGCAACACGTTCAAGTATTTCACGAGGTAAGTTTTACTAATTTTATTTGAACTGAAAAGTCCACAGCGTAGCTCTACATATCTCACACACTAATTTTTTCGAGCCCAAAAGATGTTATTTAAGCAACGAACGTAGGATTCTTAATGCTTCACTGATAAACATTTATTGACAACACTTTATGGACATGAGCACAGACACAGTCCACCGCTGGAAAAATACTCAACTCACTGGAAGCAATGAGGTATACCACCTGCTTCATAAGTAAAGCAGATTTCGGAATTATAGGCAAGATGTGTACTTTCAGTTAGTCCTAACATGAAAGCTTTCCATTCATAAATTAATTTTGCACACATTTTTAATCATTGTCTTTGACTTGTAAAGTATCCCAATATACTTATGATACCATCTGTAGTGCGAAATAGCTTCGCCATGTTATTTGGGGTTAGTAAGCATCTTTTAAAGCCATGCGTCCTTATATAACATATATTCCTAAAGAGAATATTTAATTTGCATAGCAAAATTATGCTGGACATACTATCACATGAATAAAAGAGTTGAAATGAATATAATCATCCTTTGTCGGCTAGTTTATTATCTCAAACAACAAATTTTGACTTTGGATCAGTTATACATTTTGTGATTAGTATGCCAACTTAAACTATTTTCCAGAGCCAAGATTGCTTCATTAACACTCTCTAATGATGCTACTATGTATGAATTACTGTGTTGCAAACTAAAATTTAGTTTATAACACTGAATGCATGTATTTCACGTCAGATCAGTGGAACATATTTCCTTACAAATAAACGTTTTGTCTTTGCCGATACTTAGTTCTAGTCAAAAATCAGTTATTTGCATAAATGGAACTGCACTATAATAGAAACTGAGCAAATAATGTTTCGTTTACACCCGGCGCTGCTGAAGGCAAATAAGAAAGGAGAGCTCAAAAACTCAGATAACCTATTTATAATGATATCCGAAAAAATGAATGCATAAGCACAATTGAAAGTTTTTTGTTATGGATTACATTTAATAATACACAAAATAACTTGGTCTCTTCAGACTAAATTATCACAGTGCATGATGATTGAAGCTGGTACCAAATATCGAGTCATATCACAGTTTGAAATATCGAACTCTAAGTAGTCAATCAGGCGTCCCTCTGAGGGATCTGCTAACCAGATACGTAATATTAACCTGGTTTGTAGTCAGTGCTTTCGTTCAGTCGACAGTGTATAGGTCAGATAAATTACTGGCATTCTAGTCTGATTCA